CATATTTCACCCATGACCTTTTACTTTCTTGTCTTCAGTTTAAGCACAGTGGTGCATTCACTGTACTAGACCAATACTGGTTTTTACAGTATTTAAACATGTCAGTCCATCAATGTCATTCACTGCCAATATATTGAAGGTACTTAGGCTATTATGGGACTGACCACAGCTTACAGTAAAACCTGCAATGAAAATGAGATTTTTCTTGACCAGATGATGATTTTATGTATTCGTTCAAGTGTAATAATTTAAGCAATTGCATATTTAACAAAGTGACAGTTTCACCTTTGCTTTAAAAGGCTTCTAAACAATCTGACAAAAATTATGGGATGGAATTTATGAAAATTGTTTTCCATTGGGAAGCTCCAATCTGGAAATTATTCTAAAGCAAATTTTGACTAAAATACATAACATGCATGCATGAATATTTTTAACACTCAGTTTCTATTGAGTCTTTTAGTGACCTAAACACTGATTTCAGCTTGTGAATCATACAATAAATACTGCTCCTTTTGGTGGCATTACAATTGTGAAATGAGATTTTATATATATATCAGTGAAACCCGGTTTCAGCCAGTTTGAGCACTCAAAAACCGATACCTATCGTAAGCCACAGTGCAGAACTAAACTGCCCAAGGAAAACACACACAAAGCCTGCTGGTACAGCACATTCACATGTTGGCTGTCTCTGACTGTCCTCATGTCTCTTCCTCCACAGAAGACAGCAGGCGGGAATATGAGCGAGATCCCAGTGGCACACCCATACACGCTGACCCAGCTCACCAGCTGATGTCCCGGGTCCTGAGTCCCGCCCTGCCCGTCCCAGGAGGCCTCCATGCCGTCCCGCTCACCAGTGGCCGACCCAGCCCTCCCCACGACCTTCGGCCAGACCCCCATTCTCTTCCCCCAGACACCCTGCACCACCACCCTTACAAGTACCCCACCACCTACGAACACTACCTGGGAGCCAAGACCAGACCATCGCCCTACCCTTTACCCAGTATCAGAGGACACACATACCATCATCACATGAACCCAGCTACTGCTAACATGTATTCAGCCACCAGCGGCCCCTCTAATTATGACTATGGACCCAGATAATGACTGCTGTCCACCAGGGCCAATGACTGTGGGAATGGAAACCGGCAGGAGAGACAAGACACTCCTGTTTATTAGTGGCTTATGCAACCTGCGGAGTGCATTCAAGGGCTGAAACTCCTCTGCTGGATAAACCCTGCCGTATTTATTTAAAGGAAATGTATCTCTGAGGGAAGCATGGGCACCTGTTCTGAGCCCTTGAAGAGATCTACATTAACCTTTATACCCAAATGGCAAGAGCTCTTCATCAGGGCACCTTTTGCCTGTGCAGTGCAGACATTGAGCCAGCAAACAGAGGAGACAGGAGGGACCTCTCCTTAACACGGACAATAATTTGATCACAGACTGGAATTCAATTCTTGTTTTTTTTTTTCTTGTGTTGGATGCACTTTTTGATTTGCCTTGTTTTTATTGCTTTCAAAAAAGCCATATGTTATATAGTCCATCAACCTTCTAGGTAGACGAGATGTTTGCATGTTGAGCTCATCAGAGAGTGTGTCGAAACACATCAAAATGTTTTTGTTTGAGGAAAAACAATATGACAAGATTTGATTTTGAAACATTCTCAACATTTTGAGCTGCTCTGAGAAGCTTGTACCATGGCACTGACTTGCAGCAATTCAAAGTAAATAAATGAAGCAGAATGACTGTTCTGTATCTGTAAAATAAACATTAAATTCTTATAATTCATTTAAAAATGTTCCTTGTGCAAATCGTCCATTCATATTCCCTTCTGCTGTTGAACTGCTGAAGTGGGAGGGCTAAAAAAAGCTTACCTCACTGATAGCATTGTTCAGGTTTATCTGTCCGGATTTGCCCTGTTGAATAGGTTGAGGTGTCCGCTGCTCCAGCAGTCATCTGGAGTCAGGGCTTGAAAGCTGTCTAAACAGTAGACTGCATTATAGTTCAAATGTTGAAATCTGCACCTGGTATTATGGAAAAAAAGCATCAACACACATAAATGAGTCATCAACCATACCACTACACTGAACCTCTACACACACTTCCTTCTAAACCACTTGTGCAAGTATTTAGGGACTATAGTCACATACAGACTGCAGTTTAATGTTGGAATAAAATCTTTACAATAGATACAAATTGTTGCATAAGGTGATTTTAAAAAACTATTTTATGTGTAAAAGCGTTTTATTTAAAAAACGGATAAACACTTAAACCATTATTATAACTTTAAATATATTTTAAAAGTAAAATATTACTGATTTATTGCACATTTAATCGTTTATAAGACACCGTACTATTATGTATGTAATTTGGTAAAACTGATTTAATTAATGTAAATGCATAAACTACCAGCTTGTTAAAATATAAGAATACTTATGAGGCGCAAACTTGACATTTCAACTCTCCGCAAAACGATATAGCTCATATTTACTGGGACAGTCGCGCGATATTTTAAGAATGAGGCGGAGAACAGGGGGAAGGATACCCGAGGGCGCGTGACCTCTGACTGTTTAATGGCTTGTAAAGGTGCCAAAGGTTAAATAATGTTTCCACGCATTTAAACGCCGACAAATTGGTTGTATAGGCTTTTTGTATGTTTGGGCGGCGAATGGAGCTTCGACGATATTTACCTTAGGGTACAGTTTAACTTTAGTGTGAGCAACTTTACTATGGACAACGACGCCGTAACAAATAATTTTAAGCCGTGGCTTGTGACATATCAGCTAACTACATAGCCATATAGGTTTGCAGACATTCCCACAGCAAATGCGACATATTCACATACAGCAGGCTATACAGTAAGAACAATAACTATTCTTTCTATTTAAAATGTAAGCGTTTTGGAAAGCATCCCGCGGCTACTTTTATTTTGTGTTGTTTGGTCAATGAACATACAACCTTGGGCGAGTCATAGTGAAGCCTACAAATATGTATAGTGCCTGGCACTACACTTGTCCTTACCGGTGATATTCTGGGTTCCTGTGAAGCCTGGCCACAAAGCGACGGTCCAGGCGTGAAGCACCATATTACTGGGTTTATCCCTGCACCTCCAGGGCTTGTGGGGGAACAAGGGTCAAGGGTCATACTGGGTCTAAGTCGGCCTACAGGTTTAGTTAGTGTATATATATATATATATACACACACACACACACTCACCCATTTAAAGTGTCACTTAAAAATACTATTGGATTATATTAAGATTGTATTTTCTGATGCATTAAAGTGTCAAGTTAAAGCTTTAAATATTTTAGTTAAATTTGGTATATATTAGTTAAACTATAACCAGTCATAAGAAATCACGGGCTCACATGTAAAATCTTAAAGTGTAAAGTTACAAGTAACTAAAGTTGTCAAAGGTAGTGGGGTCAAGTACAGTATTTGAAGCCTGGGCCTCATTTTGTAGCTCTGTCCGACAGACTGAAGGGACCCATAAGCCTGCACAGCTGAGAGCGCAGAGATTATCACTGACCTGTTATTTTGCCTTTGGGTTTTACTGAATTAATACAAAACAACACAGGACAACAACAAGACTGAAATAAAAAAACTAAATAAACTCAGTGATTTTTGTGCAAGCAGTGGGAAAGCAGGGAAACAGCACCTACTGGAGGAATTATTATGAACTGCACGTCAATACCAGCTCGATGACTATGGCGCTTGTATAAGAAAATACTTTCCACATTTTACACATGTACAGGCTACAGCATACTTTCAACAGGCCCAAGCCATTTTGAAGCACAATATTTCAATGTGTCATTAATTTCAAACTGACTAAAGGGAAACCCGCTTAGTAGCAGCACTGCAGAACAGTTTGTGTGCCCAGATGTCTCAGGATCCAGGAGACACGATGCCTGGCCAAGGACTTGTATTTGAAGTATGAGGAGGTAGAGAATAGATGATAATGTGACCTGAAGCATCAGTTGGCACTCAGCTGCATCTGGAACATCTGTTGCGACAGGCCTATAGGGTCTCCAAGCATTCATTCCACATCTGTGTACATTTCTGCTGCTGAGCCTTGTCTGCATGTCTGCTGTATCTGGGGACAAGTTATTAAAAACAAGCCAGGTAAACCAACCAGAGTCCTCCACCGAAACAACAGAACACACACTGCATGAGGCTGCTGATGGACGTTTTATGTGGAAAATCAAAACACATAACCATCACTCTGCAAAAGTCTCGATACATTTGTCTCAATTCACATTTGAAAAACTAAATAAAACCAGGTGAAAAATTGATTTTGGCTGCAATGGAAAGTGATTATTTTCTTATAATCATTCTTTTTCACCCTTTATGTTTTCTAAATAATCATTCTGTGTGACATCGTAGCTGGTAAAATAATCCATGAATAGACCCAAAGGCTCGGGGATTGACAGCATCAACCACAGACACACTGACACACTAACACACCCCCAGGATTATGTCCTTTCCTAAAGCCAGGCTGGCCTCTGACCTTTAAGTCCACGGAAGACGCACGTTAGGCGATAAGTGAAGCGCATGGCCTATTGTGCAGACACTCACCCTGTCCATTTATTGACTTCCTAAATGATCTATTATGAAGTGATTTACGAGGTCCACCAGCTACTTCTAAGGCCAGTGGGTAGCTGTCTGCTCCATTCAACAGACATCTGCATCAATGGGCACAGCATCTGATTTATCAAAGAATGGACGGAAGCTGGCCCACACAACCTCTGGTGTTTGTTCAAAGCGAAGAGGAGAGTTAGGAAGCTATTATGCATGCAAGATGTCACCCGTTGGGTCAGGGACAAAAGGTAAAGATGGAGCTCTGCAATGAACAAGGAAAATGTCACAAAACCAGGTAAAGTAAGCAAAAAAGTTCCAAATGTTTTTAAAAATATTAAAATGTTTTCAACAAGTTTTTGAACCACAACTTGTTCAAATCATTACTTTGAAGATGAGCAAAAAAAAAAAAAAACTGCAGTTACACACTTTTCCACATGATAGCAGTGTCACGGCCGGCAAGGCAGCTTGTCTAGCAAATGACCTCATCTTTCCTCTGTTTGCTAATGAGTCGTGGCCATTATGTTAGTCAGCCGCTTTGATTTCTCAAGCCTTTCCTGTACAGCTTGATGAGCTTCTCAACTTGGCTCATCCCAGGAGACGAAAAGACTCTATGGAGCAAAACGTCGAGTGTATGAAGGCCTGGGCCTTAGCCTATGAGCTCCCATGCTCCTCACTGACTCGCAGAGAGACAGCGGGCAATAAAAACACCACCTCTGTTTTCTATGAGACTTTTACAACCTTGACCACCTTCTTGAAAAATGTCAGTTTCTTAAAGAGGCATCTATATTTGTATTCCATGTGAGGTAAACTCAGAGGTTATTGAAAGTCTATTGACTATTCAATTATAAAGGCTGTTATATATTTCAATTTACTTTTTACTTGAGTTCGATGTTAGGTGTAGGCGTTTTCAATTTTTCTCAAGATACACCAAGTAAGAAAAATAAACCAGCTCATAGACAAATTATGCTATGACCAAGGAAAACAAATGCAGATCAGCACCTTTACTAAAGCAACCTCTCTTTATTCTCCATGTCCCTGCTGTGATTAACCTTGTCTGACAAATACAGCTCAGGTCAGGCTGGAGGGCCTGTGTGTTAAGCCAAGACCTGCTGGAATAACAACATAGGATTACGCAGCTGCTCAGGTGCGTCGTATACCTCAAATACAAGTCCACTGAAGCAAATCTCCTATCAGATAAGTCAACACAATCACATAGCTGCACACAGCATCACATCAGGCTTTCAGCAAACAGCGGGCAGAAAAAGTGAGCTAGTGCCTATTTAACTATTTAAAACCCATTCATTATTTCAACTGACCCGATAGCAAAACGAAGTCTGTACAGCTCTGACAGGTTAGATTTGTAATGCAAAAATGACAAGTGCTGAACTAATACTTACCTTTCATCTTCACAGTCATCGCATACTCACTGTATGTCTCTTAGAAGCAAATAAATCATAACACACTGATAAGGCCTCTTACTGACTGGTGACTACAAACCCTAATTTGTGCACCTTGAGCATCCATTTTTCAAAAAAACAAAAAACAAAAAAAACAGTAAGCTGTTTATCATTTGCTGCTATGAAGGTATTTCAAAAAGTCTCCAAGATTCCCAACCATTTCAATGAAAATCATATTCTATCCACCACCTGATGAAAACCTTTTATTTTTTTACTAATTTCTCAAGTTGCAACTTGTTCTTTTGTAAAACACATTTAGTATAAAAATATTGGAAAGAAACAATATATACCAACAAAACTGACAGCACTATCTAAACAGTAACATGAACTGTGCAAAGGATACAATAATGTATGCCATCTCTGGCATCCTGCAACTTGGGAAATGGATTAAAATCATTTTTATTGTGCACAGGAAGGAATATTGTTCACCCAGATGGTTAAAAGAGCCTTTGCTCTTCTGGAAATACTTGGAACCGTGTTAAATGTTCTGCGGGGTTTATCAAAGATCACTGGGTATTCTTTTTTTTTTTTTTAGCTCTGTATCTTCAGTGAAATGGTCATACAAGAGAGGTGCAAACTAGCACATTACATCAGTACAGATGACAGTTAAAGTACTGGCTAGAAGTATCTATATCCTCCCAGAGCTCAGAGGCTCAGCGCTGGCCCCTTCATTGTATAGTGACCACAGGCTGATCCTCTGGTCCTTGGATCCGGCAGCCAGCAGTCTTTGTCTAGGGTCCTGGTGGTCACAGAAAGCTACACTTAGCACCATGTCAGTGTGGTACTGAAGCACTGCCAGTGGCCGCAGCTTCTTCCAGCCAAACACGCGCACCCGGTGGTCCCAGCCTGCTGACGCCAGAAGCTTACCATCCTCCCTGATACACAGCTGGGAAACCCCAGGGTTGACCAGCGTCACACAGTCCTGGAGCTGTAAAACCACAAAGAGTTAAGATGATCTTACCAGGTGTTAGCAGGTCAGAACCATCTATCATGCATCTGTTCTGTAAGGTTCAGCAAGAGCTTCTACCACACTGCCCTCAGACTGCTAAATGATATATTTGTCCTCAATCAGACTAATATGCAATACACATAGACTCTAATTGAGTAATTGTGCAATTTTTAGGGACTCTTTGCAATATTTCTGTCAGGGTATTTATTGTGCTCATATTTATACTATATAGATTTTCATTTCAATTACATATTAATTATTATTAGTTTTGGTGGTGTTTTATTGTGCTTCAGTTGTATTTTCCTGGTGTACAGCTGAATGACAATAAATTGAATCTTGATGGATTCATCCATAGATGTTTATCAGAAGTTTCTGTGTGGTAACCTACTGTCCATGCAAACAAGAGGCAAAAATAATCAGAGGACCTAATTAGGTCAGCAAGTCTATTAATCAGTGCTGTCTAGGAAACTAAGGCCAACACAAACACTGACAGGGAGGGACTATCAGCTGATCCGATGACTGAGGTCCAAGTGTGAGGCTGAATTAAACCTGGCTGTTGACTCCTGGGACTCAATCATCGGCCATAAAACATTACAGCACGAGGGCCATGAGCAAATCTCTCGCCATCCCACTATTTGCTTTGGCGTCAGGGAGGCCTGTTCTGGGAGCACAATGGGGCTTTGAGTTACTTTTGTCACAGTTTGGGAGAAAGAGAGAGACCATCTCACTGAAATGCTTGTTTGCAGAGGCCTTGTTGCTTTAAGCGCCTCTGATGAATTACACTCACACTGAAAGGTCTGGTCAGCGGGAGAGTAGACCCAATAAATACACTGTTGTAACGCCTGCCTGCTAAAGATTAGCCACAGCTCCTTCTCCCTGTGATCTACAGTGTCCCAAGGACTGTATCAATCTCTCTAAAGGGGCAACATTCTGACATATTATAATGAATGGCGGGAAAGATCACTATCTAAAGGGCCTGCTGTGATGGGCATGCCTGCAGAGAGAACGTGCTCTTCCTGCAGGGTTAGGGATCTCTGTTGGATCGCTAGACGGGACACAAACATCTGGATATGGGAGCTGAAATCAAACTGGACAGTGTTAAATTGACTTCATAAGTTGTGTCTAGGGAGACTAATGGCCTTGGATGGGAGGAGACAGTGGAGAATTTATCAGCGTGCTCCCGTTCCGGGCAGGAACCATCCACAAGCTGCATGTGGAAGATATAAGCCAGGTACTCATAGCCCAAGTGGATAAAGTGGAATGCAAGGGAGAGAGAAAGCAGGGAGGAATGTCATTGATCAAAACAGAGCAAGAAAGCCAAGACTCAGAGAGCAGGCAGTGAGTTTCATTTTTTCTGTTTGTTTGTAAATCAAATCATCGTCACTAGTATGGATAGTATGAAACAGCGTTCGGCTGGTTAGACCAAACAAGCCAGATACAATGGCACTAAGACTGTGGGGGGTGAAAGACTGTTTGGAGTTTTGTTATTACATCAAGAAGTTGGTATGCCCCTACATCTCTCCATCTGGTTTGCATTAGAGGCCTGATAATGATGGGTTTAAGTGTCTGTTTTTGTTTGTTTTGCTTCCCATAGTTTGTGTCAGGAAAAGGCATTTGTTTCATTAAAGGGTCAATTGTAAGCAGTAAATGCTAATGATGTAGTGAGGGTCATTCAGTGGGGCTGGCTGGCTAATTGTTTTTACTTTCTGCCCTGTGCTATAATTTAGAATTAATGATGCTCATGTGCAGCTATGCTGGTTCCTAAGCTGCCAGCTGACTTTATGTGGCAGTGGGACCTGACTATAATAGTGCAGAAACACTTCATTGGTTAACTGTTAACAGCTGATCAACTTAAAAGTAATCACCGACTATTTAAAAATAAGTCTCTTACCTAATAAAAATTTCAAACACGGTTCATTCACATTCTGCTGCTTTTATATCTTTGTAAATTAAATATCTCTGGGCTCTGGACTGTTAGTTGGACAAACAACTGCATTTAAAAACACTGTCCTGAGGTCTGGAAAATGGAGAAAACTGAGGTGTGAAAATGGTCCATTTTTCATTATTTTCTGAATTTTGAACTCATCAATTAATTGCACAAATAATCAACAGATGAACAAATCATGAAAATAAATATCTGTTCTAGCCTGACAGTGATAATAGTCTTGGTCATGCACAGCACAGTGAAAATTGCAGCACAAGAAATACTGTCCATTGAACACCATGCAATGATAAAATGAGACAAAAATAATTAGCTAAGGATAATCACCAGCAATTTTGGCTTTTCAAGCTCTTTCAGATTTACCGTACAGTCAGAGCAGTATCAAACTTCTCAA